TGTTGCTTCCCTTAGCTTTCTTTCTTTTCTACTCGTGCAAGCATCCATCATCTTCTCCACCTCTCTTAGTGTATGAACGTTAATGTCCATTCCCATCCATTTAAATACCTCACTAAGCACTTCAGTGGCGTATTGGCAAGAACAAAACAAATGGTCCAGATCCTCATCATATCTTTCACAGATTCCACATTATCCAGTTGCATGAATTTGCTCAACCTGGTTCTTGTTTGCAGTCTCCCTTTCCAGATTAGCCAAGCCACTATTTGGTGTTTAGGCTGGGTCCAATTGTTCCAAACTGTATTAACCCATGCCACTTTAGATCTCTCTCTCATAATCCACTTATAGCCTTCCTGAATAGTATAATCTCCCTTCACAGGCATGGCCTTAAACTCTTCCCTCACCTTCAATAGTTTTTTCCAGTAGAAACATATGTCCCCACTTCCTTCATACTGCCATATTGTGCTTTGCTTTAGATACCTATGGTGCATCCATCTAACCCATAGGATATCTTTCTTGTTGGCTATATCCCAGATCAGCTGCATAGCATTAGCTTTATTCCATTTTACTAAGTTCTTCAAGCCTACCCCCCATTAGCCTTAGGCTGACAGATATCCTCCCATACCACCAGTGGACATCTCTTGTACATGGGTGAAGAGCCCCAGAGGAAGTTCCTGCATACGTCTTGAATCCTTTTCATGACCTTGTTTGGAATGATAAACATTCTGGACCAGAAGGCGACAATACCAAACAGCACAGAGTTTATAAGTCTTATCCTACCCACGTATGAAAGATGCTTAGTCGCCCAGGAGCTGATTTTAGTGGTAAGCTTTTCAACAAGCCTATCACATTCCCTCTGTCCAATCCTTGCAGCTGTGATGGGACAGCCTAGATATCTGAAAGGAAATTCCCCTTTAGTCATTTTAGTTAGTCTCAAGAATCTATTCTCTGTTTCTAAGTTCACTCCACCCATAACAATCTGAGATTTATCAGTATTTATGTGTAGGCCAGTAACCTCTTTGAAGTGGTCCAGTGCACTCAATACAGCCTTAATAGAGTCCTCATCTGCCTTGCACACCACAATCAAATCATCTGCGAAAACCAAATTAATCAGCTTCAAAGACTTACACATGGGGTGAAATTTAAACCTCTTCAGATCAGCGTAGTGATGGAGAGTCCTTGTGAGATATTCCATGACCACCACAAATAACAATGGTGATATGGGATCTCCTTGTCTGAGTCCTTCCCCTCCCTTAAAGTACCCAAACATTTCACCATCAAGTTGAATTGAGAATGCTGTATTTGTCACACAGAAATTAATCCACTCTATGAACTTAGGTGGGAACTTCATAGCTTGCAGGATTTGTGTCATCGCCTTCCAACTAACTGAATCATATGCTTTTTTGATATCAAGTTTCATCATACATCGGGAGGATATCCCCTTCCTTTTATAGCCTCTAGCCAATTCCTGACAAACCAAGACATTGTGAACCAACTCTCTACCAGAAATGAAAGCACCTTGGTTTTGATCAACAATATATGCCAAGACCTCTTTCAATCTACTACAGATTATTTTTGACATGACCTTGTAAATCACGTTGCAACACGAGATAGGTCTGAAGTCTGCAGGGCCTTTAGGACAATCAACTTTAGGAATGAGGGTAATGATGGTTGCATTTACCTCTTTAAGGGTAGTGCTTGTTTGGAAGAACTCCATTACTGCCTGTGTAACCAAGTCCCCCACTAAGCTCCATTGGTTCTTGAAGAACCCACTACTAAATCCATCCGGTCCTGGGCTTTTATAGTTAGGGATCTCAAATATGTATTTCTTAATCAGCTCTGGGGGAATGGGGGCTATCAAGTTCAGCTGCTGTTCCACTGTCAAAACCCTTCCTCTTTTGATAATCTCTTCTTTAATGTTTTCAGTCCATACTGTAGTCCCTAGGATCTCTTGGTAGTATTCCATCAAAGTCCTAGCCACATTATCCTTACCTTCAACCATCTCTCCCTTCTTGTTATATATTGCAGTGATGTGGTTTTGAATATGTCTCCTTTTAATCCATGCATAGAATAGTCTGGAGTCTTGATCACCTTCAAGAATCCATTCTTGCTTTGCTTGTTGACACTTCAGTAGATAGCTTGCTTTCAAATTCCAATTCAGTTGTTGGATCAAATGTTTCTCTTTGCTGATCAGTGACTCATTATTAATACTCTTCTTAATCTTCTGTTGAATAGAGAATAGTTCTTCCCTAATTATGTCACACTTTTGGATAATATTTCCAAACCTCTCCCTATTTAACCTTCTGAGTGAAGTCTTTAAATTCTTCATCTTCCTGACCAGCTGGTACATACTTCTTCCTTGGATATGTTGATCCCAGCTCTCCCTTACCATGATATGGAAGTTGGGATCCAAAGTCCACATATCACAAAACTTAAACCTTTTACCACCCTTGTCTTGCTCCCACACCTTGATTATAAGGGGTGTATGATCTGATAGACCTTCCTCTCTGACCTGTAACTTTGTCATAGTCTGGACGGTCCATTCTATATTGATTAAAGCCCTGTCTATTTTTGAGTAGATCCTTCTGCCTGGGCCTTGTTTATTGGACCATGTGTATTGGGCTCCCTCAGCGGGGAGATCCTCCAGTCCAATACTCTGAACACACTCTTTGAAGTCCTTAATCTCTTCCCATGTTACTGGGCTGCCTCCAATTCTCTCGTCAAACCCTAATACATTATTAAAATCACCCATAATACACCAAGGTTTATTCATGTGGTTAGCTATGTTACCTATCTCCCTCCATAGCTCTTTCCTTTTACTGGGATCATTATGTCCATACACAAAGGTGATGAAGTACTCCATATCATTTCCTGCTTTCCTGCATTTACAGCTCACCAGTTGATCAGTAACTTCAAGTATTTGGACCATGATTTTATTGAGGTTCCAAACTACCCAAATCCTGCCCATGTGATGGACTGTATTATTGATGAAAGATCCCCAATTCTTGAACATTCTTCCTTCCACTTCTTTAAACTTATTATCCTTTATTTTAGTTTCCAGCATCCCAAATAAAACCACATCATTATTTTTGACAAACTTCATGATTTCAGTCTGCTTATTAGGACTGTTCAGTCCTCTTACATTCCAACTACTAATCATTTAAGAAAGGGGTAATGTCCTGAGTAAGGAACCTCACTCAGTATTTTGTTCAATCCTTTCTCATCACACTCTTCTTTATTCTCCAATACCAACTTCCTTGCGGCTTTCCTCCCACTAACCTCAGTAAACCCATCTTGGTCAAGGGTTTCTGGGTTATTTTCATTGGTAATCTCTTTATGCTCCTCTATATCAGTTTCTATCTCAAAATTATCCTGTTTTTGGTCACTTTCATCTTTCTTGACCCTCCATAACATTTTCCTTGGCTCCTGTTTCTCCTGTTTTTTTATCTTTCAGTCTACAATACTCCTGTTCATGCCCTATCTTCTTACAATGGTAGCACATACAAGGATACCACTCATAGGTCACCTTCTGGGTTATGACCCTATCTTCTTCATCAATGTAGTTAATCTGCTTTGGGAAATCCTGATACACCCCTACCTCCACTTGGATCCTTGCATATGCAAACTTCATCCCAGTGGCAGTAGCTTTGTCTCTTTTTACAGGTCTTCCAATAAGGCTTCCCAACTTGCTCAGGCCCGATGCACTCCAGTACTTCATCTCAAGATCTGGGAATTGTATCCAAATAGGGATATCCTTGAGATCAGTGATATCCACCTTGTTTCCAGGCTTCCATTTCTGCACTAGGACTGGTTTCTTATCAAATAAATAGTACTTCCTTTTTATCACTTGATCTCTATCTTCCTCTTTTTGAAACTTGACTATAAATTGTCCTTCCTTAAGTACAGACACTTCCTCTATAGGGAACATTTTCCACAGTCTTGCAATGAAACCTTTAATAACATCAATTGGTGGATTTGCTCCCAAGACACAGAGAATCATCGTAGAGTCCCAATACCTGGATTGTTCCACTATGTCTTCCTTGGTGAATTTCGCTACCTGGATTCCATTCACCTCCATAGATTGCACAAATTCCAAACTTAAATCCACTGTTTCTGGCTTTCCCACCGCTTCCGCGTACGATTTGGGCTTGGCTCCTTCCAATTCCTTACCCAAATCCTGCTCGTCAGATCGTTCAAGGTCTAGGGTTCGATCCCCATCCTTAGGTACAGGAGTATCGCTAATCTCTGGAGATCCCTTAGAGCTGCTCTGTGTATCCTTTCGTTGAATATTGGTGAGCGGTGACTCCTGACGATCACCGTGCTTTCCTCCTGGATGAAGTTCATCGATTTTCTTTGGCCTTCCCTTCCTCTTCGCCATTGCGTTAGAGAGAGACTGCCCTCTTTTCTTGAGGGGTGTAGATCTTATACAATATAACGCCATGCAGCCATGAAACATCTCATGGAAGATTCCAAAATTGGATGGGAGAATCTGTAAATGTGAAAGACAGTATGAATTTAAATAACTTAGGTGTTGCTTTGAATCTTGATAGATGTTACTTAGAGAGCTAAAATTCAATTTATAGAGTAACAGCATGAGTTTAATTTCCAAATTCGTTGGGCAGGAAAATTGTCTGGCTTCTGTTGTCTAATGAGTACCATCACACATAAAAGTTAAAACAGACATAAATGTTTAGCGTGAACACCAAAATAGAGCAACATCTTTGTTGTTTGCAGCATATGATTGCAAGGCAATTTGAAATTGTACAATTTGCATATTTCCCAACATATAATTGCAAGGCAATTTTAATATATATGTACACACACACACACACACACACACATATATACACACACACACATACATACATATACATACATACATACATACATATATGTATATATATATATATATATATATACATATATACATATATATATATGGATGAAAATGACTGATGCTGTTGTTAGTAATTTATTTAATTATTCATTTATTATTTGTTGAAGATGACTCAGAGCAACCAACGCGGTAGATCACAGACATTGGTAGTGCCACCAAGAACCATAAATGTACAGAAATTTGCTGAATCTCGAGGACCGGAACTTGGGACGCTTCACTCTATTATCAAGAACCGTCTACACAATGACTTCTCTTCTCAAAGAAGCAAGAGGAGAAGGACAACTGGTCATGATAACCGATCAACAAAAAATAAACATAGAAAGAGGCAGAAGGTAGGAAACAAAGATGTCGATAAGACTGCCAGTTTGGGGAATGATAAGGCAGCTCCTCGCCGTGTTCGTAGGAGAACTGAACTCAGGATGAACCCAAATAGTGGTTTTTTGACTTCAGGAGATGGGACAAAAAGACTTAGAACACATGTATGGCATGCTAAGCGTTTCACAATGACTAAACTTTGGGGTTTTCACCTTCCCCTTGGTCTTCATGGCAGGTATAGTGTTGATTCTTATCACTCAGGATATTGCAAAGTACAAACACGCAAACACAGAAAAGAAAAAAGTGATATTATTTACCAGCATGACTTGTGATATTTAGGAAAGCTTTGATTGCATATGCCACTTATGTCAATGTCGAGGATGTCATTTGTTTCAAGAATGGCTTCCGAGTTAAATATCAACTAACCTAGTACTGTAGCTTAGATTGCATTATTATATTTGATTAGTGTCTTATGTTATCTAAGGAATGAAAATACTTGTGGTATCTGATCCCATTCGATCTTTATTCAATATTTTTTTATTTAGAGGAAGAGGTTCTATGGCACTTTTGAAGAAACTTAAAGATAGCGCACTTGTGCATGACACAAGCTATTTGACTATTGTACAACTAGAGGGTCCGGAGGTTTGTATTCCATTATGTTTACATGACTTATTCCTCTTAAAAAATGTTTGCATTACTTATATTGGTGTGCGTTTACATAGATCTTAGTGTTTGTTTGATGCTATGGAAGGATGTTTTGTAATACCAAGATGCTTTTGTTCATAGCATGGTTGTTAAAATTGTGATCCAAATTGCTGGATTATGCAATTACAGCATTTGAACCTGAAAAAATTAAGGATTACTTTCTTTACGATTGGCACTTGAGCGTGATCATATTAGGTTTGTACAAGGATCATTAAGATTGTGTAGGATTTTAGTGGTACCGTTTTAAAAGAAATTACATGTATTACTATTAATCAGTCGCTAAAATTTACAAATATTTGAGGATATTACCCCTCATTAAGGAATCATTAAATGGAGCATTTTCATGTTACGATGAATATATAAAGAAAGGTGAAATGAAAAGTTTTGTTTTGGTTCTACAAAACAATAACACACACTATCAAGAAAAAAATGTCTTGTTAGCACAACACATGATGAATCTATTAGTGTGTCAGAACAAGTATAATTGCCAATGGTTTTATGATGCACTTGCTATTTATCATTCTTTTTGAGTTGGTGACAATATTTTCTAATATATAGCTTTTTGAGATGCTTATAATATTAATTTAACACTCGTTACTAAGAAAAAATGCATGTAGGTTTGTTTATTTAGAGAATTAGTAGGACCTTACGATTCTAGATTCAATGATCTGATCATGTTGACACCCCTCACAACTAACAACAATCCTAAGTAAGATCTTGATCTAGAAACCCTTGGCTCGTTGAGGTCATAATGGGTATTACTTTTGCCAGGGGAGAGGAGGGAAGGACGTTGTTTGGTTCAGTAGGAGAGGGGAGGGAAAGACGTTGTTTGGCTGGGGATGGTAGGGATTAATTAAATATTCAATAATTAAAATAAGATCCAAAATATGTGCTATCAGTTACGGAGCTATGACTGTTTACTTGTTCATTAACCATATCATACATTTTTCCAGGATATGGTGCTGTCAATTTTAGATAAAACAACTGTTCATTCATCATCACAAAGTGAAAATGCTTCTCAGGACATACTCTCAGGTTTTATTTGCGGTCAAGCCATGGTAGGTGTCATGTGTTCTTTATTTCTTCCCCAGTAATGAATTATATTATTTGATTATATTGTGTACTTTTGCAGCTTCATCACTATGGAGTACCCTTCTCTGCTGCCATTGCTCCAATTACCTACATGTGGCAACCTCAGAATTTTTGCTGTATCAATGCTAAGGCTACTGAAGACACATATGAGAAGCAAAATGGATTTGATGACTTTGCTTCCTCTAGGCGGTTATGGATTTTCATAAATGCTTCAGCCTTCAGAGAAGGGTTTGAGGCTTTACAGCATGCCTGTAAACGACAGGTAAACTAACAAACATCTTGCTCTGAACCATGAAAAGCACTCCTTTTTTTTAATAACTTCATCAAAAGTTTCATTTTAAGAAAAGGTTACTACTGACACTCTGCATTCCTTGTCACTTAAAAAACAACTGTAGATAAGTATTCGGGTAATTACTTTGTTATACTTGGCTGTATTTTGTTAGTGACTAAATTTAATGGTAGCTTTTTTTTGTTTGTGCAGTATAGATCACTACTGTTCTTAACCATCCGATGAATGACAGCAAATGCACTGTTAGTTGTATCTCTCTTGAAGATAGGCTTGCAAATTTGGATGTGATTGGATCTAGGGCACTTCATGTCCTTAGAAAGACATTACATCCTGCTACCTGGTGAGATAATTTGTGACTTTGGGCTTCAACTCTATCCAACTTTCTCCCTCAAGTACTCATTACTCAACATTACTAAGTGGTATCATTGCTTTTGCAGCAATGCACCTAGGCGTGACAGTGAAAGTAAATTCGTGAAAACTTTTGAGGAAGATCAAATTCCTCCCTTCGGAGTCATTTCCATCACTGTTGATGATCCACGCACTTTTACTGAGGGAGGTGTTGCTAATTCTTCAGATATAAATGCTGAAGGAGCACTAGCTTATAAGACACATGAAATAAAAGGAAATGCTTCTTCAGTGGATAACTCTGAAAAGGAAAGTAATTCACCTCCATGTAAATTTTCAGAGTTCAAAGAGAACTCCAATTTATCTGAGAATATGGATTTGTGGCATGTTTATAAGGATGTACATCCTCCTGTAGATGAAAGTCTTCTTTGCACAAAAAGACACAATCAGCGTATGGAGTTATTTGGGCTTGATAATAGGATTTCTGGGGCATTCAATACTCCAGACAATGTACAGCACTCAAGATGTCCTATTTTGCTCATAAAAAATTACAGGCAGAAATCTTTTATGAGGTAACTTTTCTTTAGTTGATGTTTGAATAAAAAAATCATATTTAGTATGCACTACTCATTTTGCAGAAGCAAATTTCTTTCACTCATGTGTCTATGCCTGGAGTCTGTTACTCTTGATATTTATCCTGCATGTTCTGTACAACAAAATTATCATTGGTTTCTAATTTAATTAGAGTGAATTCCGCAAATAGTCTTCTATATTTGAAGACATTCCACATTTAGTCTACTATTCTATACAATTCCATGGAGGTCCACTTTTTTCCAAATTTAGTCTTCTTTCCATCAAAGGTCCTCAAAATGATACTTGCAGACTACAAAAGGATTAAAATTTAAAAGTAGCAGTGTTCTAAAATTTGAAGGACCTTAGTTGGCATTTAATAACATACTCCATAGAAGACTAACACTGGGAAATGTTCAAAATTAATGTGGACTTCCATTCAAGTTTAGAATGTAATGGACTGAATGTGGAAAGTCCTTAATTAAAGAGGAGCATTTGTGAAATTTACTCATTTAGTTATTAAAGAATTGCTATTGGTGCTGTGACCCATTCATGCATTCTTAGCTGATCGCTGTAAAAGTTTAAATGCTATGAATCCTTCATATGGTCAAGGGTAGCCACTAGCCAGGTGCACAAAGCGTTCCCCATTGGTGAGGGTTTGAGGAAGGATCCCATCACAAGGGTGCAATGTAAGCAAACCTTGCTTTGCATCTTTGCAAGAGATTGATGTCCATGACTCAAACCCTTGGCCTTAAGATCACACAGGCACAAGAATACCTCAACCCGTGCACAAAGGAATCTCTTACAGTCCTTAAAATTTCTTGCAGGTGGTCTATTATTCTCCCACTAAGTTGGGTTAAGGTCATTTGGATGAGTCTGATCTCCAATGGTGCTCATGCAATAGGCCTCAGAGAGAAGCATTGGGTTGCTTGTGAAGTTAGTACATTTTTTCCTTTAATGGCACTTTGCAAGTTTTCCGAAATTCTTATTGGTTTCATTTCCTTCCCCTTTGCAGGCTGGATTGCCATACTTCCCATTTGACTTCCCGGATTGCAATTCATATGCATGTCTTATGGAAATGGACGAAGCTGCTGCTGATGAGAGTGCAAGGAGAACTCCTCTTTCTTCGAGGCCCTTTAGAGTTCCAATTCTATCCCCTTGGAACAGTGTCCACCTTGCTCTTGACAAAAGATCACCCACAGAAAGAAGTTTTCCACTGCATTGTAAAGACCTGTGCACGAAAGAATTCAAACAAAGGAGCTTTGATGATTTCACTGGCTGTGGAGAACATCTTCATGCTACTACCCCATTTGAAGGGTTTATAGCACGGACATCTCACATTTTAAGCCGGTTCTTAAACCAGATCAATGGAAGTCATTTGCTTTTGTTTCCAAAATTTTCCAATGGGGAGAAGAACATCTTCACGGTCATTAAAGATAAAATGTGGAATGAGCACTCAGATATGGTCATCTCTCCTGTAAATTATGGACCAAAATTATGCTTTGTAAGAGTATTGTTGCGTGCCTACAGAAAAGGTGTTTTTGAAGGAGGAGCAGTGGTTTGTGCACCTCATGCAGATGAAATATTGTTGTTGACTCAGAGGTAATTACAGTTATATAGCTTCATAAAGGTATTGTTGCGTGCCTACAGAAAAGTACGGAGTATATTTGACCCATCTCTGATCTTTTTTCAAGTATACGCCTATCAAAATTGAAATATTTAAGAAAGGCCTTTTTGGTCAGACTTGCACTATTTTATTATTCCTTTACCCGTATCCTTACGTTAGTAAATACTCCGGAGTATGTAACTTCATGAAGCAAGGGGTATAATGTTAATTTCATGGAGACATGTCTTATGTAAGGGAACCTCTAACATTTACTGATTAAAATAGGCACATTGTTTTTTCTATAACATGGACCTACTCTATGAGTATCTTATACCTTCACGGATGTTTTGTGATATGCAGATCAGAATGTTCTGATGGGGAGCTTCAAATCACCGAATCCTCCGTGCGGTCATACTTTGCGCGACAAGATGATGGGAAATGGGAATGTCAGATACCAACTGATCCTGTGACTGAAGACTCTTATAGGCCTCCAATTGGTTTTGTTACAACAGGCTCCATTCTAGGAAGGTTGGTAATGTTTTTTTTTAATTCTCAATTTTTTTAAAAAAAGTATTTTTTTCAACTTTGGGGACAATGATGTTGAATTTGATTTGGATGTCTTCATGCAGCAAAAAGCCTGTTGCAGTGGCATTGTGTGAGGCAATCAATCTAGCTTGCCTAAGAGAGGATCAATGGAGGGTTGCATCCCTCAAGAGGAGGAAGGAAATCTATGTGTTGGTTAGGAATTTGAGGTCGACGACTTTTAGACTTGCAACGGCTAACATAATCCTGGAGCAAAGTGAAGATGACGATATCGATTACATGTAAACATTGTTTTTTCTTGGGGCCGAACTTTTTTGCTTCTTCTCAATCATATTTCTGTGTCATTTACTATTGTCATGATTTGGCACATTCATTGCCTCCATTAGGTTGAATGACTAATTGTGTGTGTTAATTATAATTATGATACAGCTCCTAATGACGCAAAACCTTCTTCTGATATCACATCTACTCAGTTTGAAGATGAAGGCCATAAAGGAGTAAAACAATGTTTCTGAATATGCTCATGGCATTGTTTTCATTCTTAATTTATCTTTACATTGGTAAGTTCATTATTATCTTTAGAGGTTTTAATGAATGAACTAGTGGTGATAATATTTATATTTGTCTTGTACGAATGTTTTGCGTGATAAAGAGTTAGATTTTGGCTTTGATAGTGCAACGAATAATATTGCTACTATTTCTCGACATAGAGAGCTTCGCGGGGCTACTACAAATATGAATAGATTTTTTTATCAGTGTTGTGCTTGTCATGTGCTATACTTGAGTGTGCAAAAGGATTGCAAGTGTTAGGGACCTAATGACAAACATTTAAAAAATGGGTATAAAAAGAATTTTGGGTAGCTACTAGCTAATACTCCCTCTGTTCTAAAATTTTCTTCCCACTTCCCCATTTTCTCCGTCCTAAAACTACCTTCCCATTAGAAAAAAAAAGATGACAAATGACATTAATACCCTCATGTATTTACACCAATTATCTTCTAACTCTATATTTTGAATGATTGCAAAAAAAAATTCAAAAAATCTTTTTTAAGGAGGGTAAAATTTGAAGTCAAAGCCAAAAATTAAAAATGGAGAAAAGTCAAACTGGGAAGAAAGAATTAGGACGGAGGGAGTAATAAAGTTGGATTGGTTTCGTTGCCACAAGGCAAGGGATGTCATTGGCTTTTTGAAGCATACTTGGTCCTTTGTTTTCAAAAAATTGAAGGTTTTTACTCTCTTAACCTTGTAAACTCTCCAACTCAGCCACGATATAAAGGTCATTTAGTGAAAACAATTTTTCCCCCATCTCTATCAATTGCCCTAAGTTTAGTTGATTTTGGGATAAAAAATTTGACTCCGTGGGGGGATAGGGGTGGGTTAGGGTCGAAGGTGAGGGGTTTATTGGGGATGGGTTCGGTTCGTACTAGGGTAGATGGTTTACATGATTAGGTAGTAAGAATCAATTTTGTAAATGGAGCACCTAGTGGCATCGTTGCAATATCTTGAGTATTTTGAGATATTTGTGAAGTTTCTTTAAGACCTAGAAATTCATTGGAATTGTACATATAAACTGATATGCAATTTCTTGAGTTACAAAGATGGTCTTAGTTTTTTCTTAAAACATACTCCCTCCATTCCAATATAAAGTTTCCAATTTAAAGGAGAGATTCAATATGGATCAACTAATCCTTCCGATAAAAGAAATGAAAAGTTTGTTTTGAGACAACCAAAAAAAGAAAGTGAGAAGCTGATTTTGATATGGAGGGAGTATTTGTAATATTATTACTACTATGCGTGAATTAGATTTGACGGAAAAAACTTGTTACTGACTTTATTTTAACATTTTCTCATGTGTATAAGCATACTAGTATTGTGTTCTTTTATAAGTGTATTACTCCGTAATATTGTTATTTTAAGGAAGTTGAAAATGATAGTCTGGTGCAGTTATTGCCATGAAATAGAAATGATGTGAGTATTGTTTTTTACATTTCTCCTATTTATGAATTATGATATTGCCTTTATGGGTGGCCCTCGTTTTAAAAATTAGCATTTCGAAACTTTTATGCAATATTGTTTTCGTTTTTTAAAAAAGTCTTTTGGTAGATTTGGGGAAATGCTTTTTTGTTGATGGTTAAATTTCTCAAAATGCACTTTTATTTGATACTCGACTTTTTATAATGAATTTCACAGTAAGTCCTTTGAGACCAGTGACATAAAGAAAGCCATATTATCTAAGGGAAAAAAGTAATCTAAAAGTACTAAAGCAAATTTAATGAAAAAAGAAGTCGGATCCTAACATTTCGTCCAAAGCTCGATTTTCAAGCTTTCTAAGAATCTAACCAATTTTTGTGAAAATGATGAAGATATAGAGTCCGGCATACTCCAATGGAAGGAGAAACAACGACATATGTTCCCCGTCATAGTATTATCCGTGCTAGTTGCGGTGGAGTAAGAATTTAGTGCAAGCGGAAACAAACTAAAGGATTGCCGTACACAACTAAATGTCGGATAGCTCGAAATACTTACTTGCGACAACGATTGGTTGTTAGCCTGACGTAGAAAACAAGGAGTGACATTCACACTCGAACGACACTTCATTGAAGCTACAACAAGAGTGAACTTTTGTATAGCTTACTAATTACTACACCTATCTTTACTTCACTTCACAATTCATATAATTTGTTTTATACATCTATTTTTTTTTAATTTTACTATCCATCATTGTACAATTTGTACGACTAGGAAATTTTAAGAATGTCTTTTTTCTTTTGTACGTACACTTGTAGAATTGATTGCAATTTCACGTTTTCCTAAAGTTTATAATGCGTAAACTATGTTTTCAGAACAAATTTAATTATTTGAAAAAATGGAACCGGACCCAAAATTGGACCAAAAGTCACCCGAGACCGAGACCAAATCAGAGCTCTCCCTACCCAACACCGATCATGGTTCCTTCCATCTGAGAATCGGGTACCAAGTCCACCACTACTAAAGAGTAAACCCCATAAGGAGATACAATAGGCTAGCAGTTGTAAACTTAGACACAGTTGGGTTGAAGGTGTCAAGCATGCCTAGCAATCTTTGATTAGTGCAGTTGAATAAACCCATGAACCTTAATTTGTAAATTTTGCTGGTATGGTTTTTGTGCCTTAATTTGTAGCGCATGCTTGTCTTCTTTGGATCTACTCCCTCCATTCTTATTTAACTTGTACACCCACTACTCTAAGATCAAACTTCAATCTATTTATTTTATTTAATTTCACCACTCATTTCATAAAATAAAATAGTAATCACATCTTATTTTGTAAACCTTTTAATGTATAAATTTTGTATTTAAATTTTACATCAATTTTAATTTAAATCAAATTGAAAGTAAATTCAATTGACCTTCATAATCCACAACATCCAAATTATTTAAGAACGGAGGGAGTAACTATTTAGGTCAGCTCGTGTACTCTTCACTCGTACTCCGTTAGCAATAAAAAATTTTGTTTGCTCGTATTTCTGTATTTGGTACCTCCAAGTAGAGATGGTATGCATATACTCCTCGAACCCTGCTGTAAGATTTTTTTTGGATTTTTTTAGCAGAGTTCACACCAGAAAAATTAGCATCCCTTCCAACAATGCCTGAATAAACATAACATTGTGTGAAGAAACATAAGTACCTATTTGCTGACATTCAACATTCTAGAACACAAACCACATAGGAACAGGAGCTTCATTTCTGCTTGAGACAAGATAACGATGGTAAGAAAAAATTCAATGCAACACCGCAAGCTCCTGGAGTTGCAGCAATGGCTACCGAAGTTGAAAACGGGCAGCGGTTGCAGGTGAATCCAGAATTTAATGGGGCAGGGCAAAACAGAGATTTTTTTTTACAGTGAAAGCTGGCTGATTCGTCTCTCTCAATATTATGAACTGCTACTACGAGACTCGACTGTAATCCTTTTAGGATGAAAGCCCAGTCATGTTTTGATTCTGCCACAGAGGCGCCAGCATGCTCCGGTGTGGAAGAGAGATTTCTCAAAAACCCATATGTCACGAACAAGGACCTTGATCAATATGGAAAAGATCACCAGTTTTTGTCATCCATTGGATATCGATGCCACATAACCAAATAATTCGCAAATAATAGTATGATAATGATGATGATGATCATGATGAACATGATCATGATTAATGATGATGATGACAACAATGATGATGATGATGATGGCGATCATAATGATTAGTAATGATGATGGTGGTGGTGAGAAAGAATACCTTAATTTGAATGTATACAAAAATAGGCGACAGTGGAAAATGGAAATAAGGATTGAATAAATACCTCTTTATTCTTATCTCCAGCAATAACAGCTCCATGTGAATTATAGGCCTCAAATTTCTGCAAGATAACATTTCACGGGTGCTTGTGAGTAAATAATTCCTAAGCATGTTAAATGGAAATAGAGCCCCATATATTCGGTGTTGTCACGAGCATAAACATCCCAACAATGTTGTTAAACTCAAAATCCTAACTAGGATCGGAAGAGGGGTGGAAGATCATTAACTCGGATCGTATGATAAAATGTACTATAGAACAACTTAAATTCATTATAATCGTTCCATCCAAAATTGTTAGAATCCAAATAAATGGTCATAATCATAACATCCAAATTTGTAAACATCTAAACAAAAGAAAAATTTGAAAAAACAAGCAAACAATTTTGTTTATAAATAATAGATGAACTGCCCAAGTGAATAACGATACTCTGTAATTAAATAAAAGTTTGAGTGGAGATTGATGAAATATATAACACTGTAAGCAGATGGTACTTCCTAATTAACTAATTTCAATCTGAACAAACATTAAAACTAAAACCTGCCTAAAACATAAAATCAAAAGACAGAAAAAACTTGAAGGCACAATAAACACAAACCTTAAAATTCATTTCTGGGATATCCTTAAAATTGAAGAAAATGGAAGGCACAATAATAGCTCATACTTGGACAGATAAACACAGGAAAGTCGGCGTAATAATATTTTATTTGGAAGAATTTCTTCTTATAGGGTTTAGAAGGGTGATTGAGGCACGCCTATTGGTATTTTGATGGGTTACGATTAAATTATTTTCCTTTCACATTGAAGATGAGTGACGACCGTTCCCCAACCCAACCTGCTGCCTCCACACATCCGAATATGAGTCGGACTGGGATTGGATGATTCCTTAACCCAGCTTGTTGACCTTAGCCGCGCCAAGGAATTTTTCATGCTTCATGAAATTCAGATCGTGGCACCCCCTATGACGTGCAAGATCGCGCGATCTCATGATCTTAACAATCTTGCTTCCCAAAGTATGTATTAGACCTCAAATAAATGCACAAAGAAATGCACATCAAGAAACCCCTCCAAGTTTAACAAACTAAGTTGATTCAACAATTCAAGGTGCATTTGTTGTAGGAGGGTTAACGAAAAAAACCTCCAATAGTTAGATTACCTGTTTAGTAACAAGCTCAAGAGTCAGTTGTACAAAGAGTTTACTGAGATCATCCCGATCAACACCAATCTGCAAACACACATTTTTTTTACATTGGATTCCACGTGAAAACAAAGTAGCAATACCATGTGATAAGCAGAACTACCAATACACTGGGAAGTACAAGGAATTCTGAATGCAGCAAAAGAAATATACAATTCTATTTCATACAACAGCAGCAGCAACAAGTCAACAACAAAACCTGATATCTGTTGGGGTTCGGGGAGTATATACATTTACATCTTCGGATGAGGTTATAACACAAATAAACAATCTTGCTTCCTATGATTCCAAAAGCATGAACAACAAATATACACATTCTAAACCAAGCATGGAGATTGTTTCAAACAACACATAGATTGAAGGATCTAGAGCTTAACTTTTTGACTAAAATGATTTTGAGCAATGGTATAGAACTATAGCTGAACGGTCTGTCACATTTGAAGAGTTCATCATTCATTACAACGGTCCACCGAAAAGGTCCAAGTAGTGGGATGTGAGGCCTGACCATTAGTTCATTTTGAACTGCGGATATTTTCATTTTTTGGTCAAAGTTCACGTCATTGACTACTAATGTCCATTTTTGATATATATGATATATCCATTTGATCATGACTTACAACAGCTAAGAATATGACTCTGAACAAAATAAATACACTTTGATCATAATTTACAACTCTCTCCAATTCTTTAAATAATCTTGCTAAGTGCTTCAAGTTTTATATCTGTTCCTACTATATTTTCAGCTCAAAGAGCTATTTGAACACTGCTTTTATTTCATAAACACTCATTCACATCTAGCATTTCCATACATAGATATACACTCATAAATCTATAGAGTTTCACAATCAAATCTTTAGTGCATAAAAATCCTACACCCACTGTAGTTCTTTTACTTACACTATGCTTGGTTCAATGAATTTGAAAGGGAAAATAAAATAAAAAGAGAGGGAAAATAATTTTTCTTGTTTGGTTAGAGAGGAAAAAAAAATATAAGAGAAAGGAAATGAAAAATGGAAAAGTAAATGAACTACCCCGTAATAAGAAGGAATACAAATTCCCTTCCATTTCGGTGAGGGAAAGGAGAGAAAACATTTTCTTTTCATTTTATTTCGAATTCCACGAACCATAGTGTTAGACTTTGTGAATTGGTGTAGTGATCGTTCCATCTCTTCTCCTACCACAAATTAGAGGTCATGGTCTTATGAACAACCAAAAAATTCTGTGTTTAAAGGTTAAGGATAGTCTGATCAAATCCTCGTTCTAAAAGGTTTAGGAGAGTCTAGAAATCTGCAAATCCTTGGATCTTATCAGCAAGGTATTTGCTGAAACTAGTCTGTTCCCCTGTCATGTTCAAGAGGACCAAATCTAATGAATTACAAAATCTCAGAGGAGACTTTAAGTAGTGAAGTTTCCAAATTACTCTAAAATCTTGGTGTCATTTAATTACACTTTTCTATCACATTTATTTATCAGGCAGAGTTTTTATTTGACATCTTAGGCAAGACTTTTAATTGCTCCCAAATTCCCTTTCTCAGTGTTCACAATGTATATTACTTGTATGAAGTACATTTTCAATTATCTTATTTACAATCCTTACTGGGCATAACAAAGTACACAAACCAATCGAATCTCATGACAGTTAGGAAACTAGATTCTACACAGCATAAATCACTTGAAAAGCATCTACAAACAAAAGACTAAGCTTCAACCTATGTTTGCCAAAGATGAATGGACTTTCTAGCTAGTAGGAAAAAGAAACAAATGGAAAGCATGTAGTAAACATCATGATGATGCCTGCATTCGTAAACAGTACGTATTACATTCTGAAGCTTATGGGTTCTCTGTTGAAAGCTCTTCAACTAGTTGAGAATTGAGTGCGAAAGGAAACCGATCTAATGAAAACACTCGCTTTGAATTTTGCACGGGTAAGACTACGTACATCTTGATTCCCAAACCCCAACGGTGTTGGGATTATACTGAGTTTGTTGTAGTTGTTTCATTATTCAAATTTGGTTAATAGTGTTATTCCACTTTAGTTAATATTCCTAATAATGATTTATGCTTCATTGTTTCCTAGTATGGTTATGGTAGGCCTCTTCTTGTAAGGCATTGCCTACTAATATTGAGCAGATTTATTTATAAAATTATTGTTGAAGCAATTAAACAAATCTTCCTAATTAGTCACGGACCCTAGGATTTGACATTTTCCCTCTTCGGCCACAGGCAAGAGAGCTCTCATGATCTCTTCAGGCCCTTAGGAAGAGAAAACTAGTCTGAGCAAATGAGATATGAATGAACTGTCTAAACATAGAAGGCTTGAAGGTCCTTTGTTACCATTTGGCATTTTAGACAAGAAAAACGAAGTCCCTAAGTAAAAAAAGAGTGCCTTGGGACCCGATGAGATTCTGGAGGAGTTTTGGAAGTATGTGGGCAGCAGAGGCTTTGTTTGGATAACTAGGCTTTTTTTATGTTATTTTCAGGACGGCAAAGATGCCTAATGAGTGGAAGAGAGTGTGTTGGTCCCATTATTTAAGGGTAAGGGTGATATTCAAAGTTGCGAGAATTATGGAAGCATAAAACTCCTTAGGTACACTATGAAGGTTTGGGAGCATATCTTGGAGTATAGGTTGCGGGAGGGGGTGTACATTTTCGAGAACCATTTTGGGTTCATCATTCATGCCTCAGAGATCGACCACAATTGACCACAGAGGCTATCACCTCCTACAACGGTTGATGGAAGAGTATAGGGTTAAGAACAAGGATCTTCAAATGGTGTTTATTGACCTAGAGAAGGCGTACGGCAGGGTGCCGAGGGAGGTTATGTGGAGGTGTCTTGAGTCGAGAGGCGTTCATATCGCATACATTCGTGTAGTCAACGATATGTACGCTAGAGCAATGACTAGGGTAAAGGCTGTAGGGGGTGACTCTTCTGTAGAGATGGGATTACACCATAGGTCTGCCTTTAGCCACTTCATGTTTGCTCTAGTATTGGATGTCTTATCGCAAGGAGTTTAAGGGAGGTTCCTTGGTGCATGATATTTGCTGACGATGGCTTTGGGGTATGATAAAATAAAGCAAATTGGCTCTTTAAACTGTCTGCGCTTCTTGCAATTGTGAAATATTTGTTAGTCAATGCAACTTTCAACGCTTATCATGGGTCATCTGAAACAGTCGCTCTATGTTTTAAACATAGGGGTCAGACTGCGTAATGTTGTTGTATTGTGTTGATTGACGGTACACGCTAGGGCTTAATGACAAGCCGGAGCTTTGGCGCATTGCCCTGAAATCTAAAGGCTTGAAACTGAGTAGGACTAAGACTGAATACATGGAATGTCGTTTTAGTGACCGGGTGACAAATTTGAAGGTAGAAGTTAGGATTGATTTCCGCCCCGTGCCCAAAGTTGACAAGTTTCGGTTTCACGCAGATATGGAGTTAAACGGGGATGTTGCACATTGTGTTGGAGCGACTTGGGTGAAATGGAGGTTAGCTTTGAAAGTTGTGTAGACAGACCATCTATGTTATATGGTGCGGAATGCTGGACGAATTAAGAAGAACCATGTTTGTCGGATACTCGGATGCATGTTGTAGAGATGTGAATGTTGCGGTGGATGTGTGGGAAGACGAGGTTGAATAGGATACGAACGAAGGTTGTCCAAGGGCTGGTGGCAGTAGCACCAATTGAGGGTAAGTTGCGGGAAGCTAGGTTGAAGTGGTTTGGGCATGTGAGACGGCGAAATGTTGAGGACCCAGTGCGGAGGTGTGAGAGGCTCAAAGTGGTGGGTGAGGTAGAGGTACGGGGAGACCTAGGAAGAATTAGAAAGAGGTAATTAGACAGGACCTAAGACTTTTGACCCTTACCGAAGATATGGCCTTAGATAGGAACTTTTGGAGAGCTAAGACTAGAGTAGTTGGGTAGGCATCTTGGATTGGTGGTGGTTTTCTCACTTTTGCTTGTGCTTTCTACTTGCTATGCCTTTTTCTCATTAATATTAGTTGACTTGGCTTTTTGTGCTTGTGTTTCTCTGTTGTATGTCTATTTATGTGTTTCTACGAGTTTGTGCTATCTGTGTTACTTGAGTCGAGGGTCTCTTGGAAACAGCCTCTCTACTTTTAGGCAAGGGTAAGGTCCGCATACACACACCCTCCCCAAACCATGCACAGGTGAGATTCAACTGGATTGTTGTTGTTACATCATATATTATCATTAATCATTTGATAAAATAAAATAGTCATATCACCTCTTGTTTTATAGAACATTTGATATAGTTGTTAAATATGTACTTTTTATATTCTAATTTAACACCAATATTCATATTAATTGAAATGAACAAAAACTTCACTCAAACATCGTAATTCGTAAATTGATATTGAAACCTTTTTAAGGGACGAACACTGCATAAGATATAAGATGGAGAAGAAAGTGACCATACATTTAGCAGCGATTAAAGAATGAATCTTCTGAGTATGAATTCGGTATTAATGTTTTGACTTATGAATTTGGTGTTGAATGTTTTTCAACCATGACTTATGTTTTGAGCTTCTATTATAGCTTTATGTTTTGAGTTTGAAAGATTATTATGCTTATGTCATTTTTGTACATATAGCCATATAGTTTGATTTTATTGATTATTGAATATATACAATGTTTGATAGCTCTAGATCCGTAAAGATTATAGAATTCTTGATAATATTTTAAATATTATGTTGGAATGCCTTGGATTCTAACCTATTTGATTAGTCATCAATGGCTGCACCTGACTGGAAAGTGGCTGCAAACTAACTGGAGAATGGCTGTAAACTGGCTGGAAACTACCTCAAAAGTGGCCTTGAGAAATGGACAAGTTGGTGGCTAGTTGGTGAGGTGGGCAGCTGTATGACAGGTCTGGGCTGTCAACAGCTCATTTCCCACTCGATTTAGGCAGCCAAGTTGGCTGCCATTTTTCCTTATATACATGATCATTTGTAAGGCATTATTAACAATGGTAGTTACCTAGAAAATCCCTCTGTAATCTCTCTCCTCAATCAGTAAAAGATCTCCTCTCTTCTGTTAGGTGGACGTAGCCAACATATTGTTGGTGAACCACATTAAATCTATGTCTGTTTGTTCTTTCGTTTCTTTATTGTTTGTTATCTTTCTTACATCCGTCATAACATGTTATGTCCCTTTCATGAGACAAGCGAGCACCTTTTTGTGTCTTAGTCGGTATTGGGCATTTGCCCCTCTAATGCGCCTTATGACTTTCTACCACGGTCTTGACTCTTGAGCGTGCATTACTTTTCATCATAGGGCCAAACAACCCTCATGGCCCGACACCTTGTGTGGACCATGTATTTCTTCATATGCAGTCAGCAGTCCACACATGGCTCCAGATCAGTTTGGTCCGGAATCATGTTAAAACTAGAAGTTTTATCCTCAGTCAATGTGTATGAGCAATCCAAGGGTGTGTAAGTTGGTTTGATAAATCATATCTAGCCAAGTTGGGACAAACTCTAACAATTACAAATGATTTCAAAACATACCATACGAGCTCGCAGAGTCCGTATTGTGACAATTGGTTCAACAAGCTCCCAGTATACATGATTCCACACAGATTCTCTTTGTCTGATCTCATTCTTCAAAGCCTGTTTTTAGAGCAGAAAATTGCTAATGGCAGAGTTTATTTCCTTTTTATAGCAAAAATGGTGGCACAACTACTGCACAATAAAAGGAAACAGTAAATTCCAAAATAGAAGCCTAACAAAGGTAAAACTACCCACGGAGTACATTTTCTCAGTGACTGATTTTCTCAGTGATGTTTTATCTCCATTTGCTATATAAGTGTTTATCTGAATATGAAAGAAAAAAATAAATACATTAGCCAGAGACGTAGAGATTTATATGAAAAGTAAGATGAATCCAAACACTTTAAAGCCTTGCTGTTGTGAATAATTCACAATGCTCATCACACGCCAAACACTTGTCAACAAAAGCTCACCTCTTTGTACAATTCAAGTGCTTCATCATAGAACTTTTTTTTTGAATACCCAGTTTTGCGCAGTTTAGCAATTGCATATGCACTTTTGAGCTGAAAGTAAATATTCAAAATGAGAAAACATGGATAAAACCTAATAGAACCATATATAAATTATAAAGAATGTATATGTGCTAACAAACATATAATAATATGACTGACCAAGTCCCAGATGTGGAAAACAACAACAATGAAGTGCAACAAAAAATATATCCAATGTTCTCCATTTCATAGCACAATCCATTGGGGGGGGGGGAGGAGGGGAGAGAGAGATAGAGAGGGAGGTAGACCAAAATTGCAATTGGGAGGGTTAAGAATGTATTGCTATAGCATAAAAATTCATTACCTCTGACGTAATTTCCTCTTTTATTCTTCTCCATCCAGTTCTTGTTAACCATCTGTAAGCACCATCTTAAGAATGTGAAGATCATATATACCTATCATCCATAAATTCAACAAGTATTTTTGTAATCTCTAACACTCTTACTAAATAATACATCAATAGTAATATTTCACTACACTAATAGGGCCAAATCTAATAAGTGAATTTGTAATCATTACAAAAGGTTGACAAACCATCATCACTCTAGAAACTATAAATCACCTTGTCCAAAAAGGCATAGCTTCACGAGGAGCATACGGTTCAAATACGATGCCGGGGCTCATAAGTGAAACTTTGACAGCTGCCTGTTATATAGATGACTGAACATATTAGAACACGGGTGCATACAGTGCTTCTAGAAGAGAAAGTACCTACACTTTGTGGCCATCACTCATGTAGCCCAAATGTCATCTTAGAAATAGAAAGTGGCCTTTTTTTCATCACACTCATGCAACCCAAAATGCAATCTAAGAAAAGATTGTATATTGCTTTTAACTTGCAATATATATAATGACCACACTGGCAGTGACAAACAACTAAATAGAAACTGTTTTTTTCTAGGTTCTCGACATGCACTTCAACAAAATTCTGAATGTGCAGTTAAATGCATTCCCCTAAAGAAAGGTGTACAAGACAAAAAAAACAGAATCTGAAATACAACTCCCTTTAAAACTGATACTCTCAGCTCTTTGATTAAAAAATTTATCATTTGGTGCCCTTTTCCTAAATGGCAATGCACACGGAGAGTACCATAGCAGAAATGGTACTTAAGAATGTATGGCTAAAATGTTAGCAGAAATGATTTGAGTTAAACCAATAAATGGGAGAAATATTGGGAATTATTTCCACTGTGTAGTTGATTTCTATGTTCGCCAATCCCCACCTTGCAGGCCACGTAGTGATTGTATCCATGAATTTTTGTTGTTTTACATAGTTCTTAGAAATATATTGGCAACTCCCCAGTCCTCTAACCCCTTAATACTGAAATTATTTATATTCTCTGTTCTTTCAATAGAATCACAGGTTTCTCACATATAGTCCATGTTTTAACAGATTAACATATTAAGTAGCTGTAGGAACTTTATTAATGACCATCCCACAATTCAAATATTTCACATTGTACCTAGGTTGCACGGGCTCACCAATTCACTACAGTGTGCCGCACCAAAGTTGTCATGGGGACGGGGACCGGCACAGGGGGTGGCTTCTGGCAGTTCCAAAATGTTGTGCAGCGTAAATTTGTATGCCTATTGTGAAGATGTGGCACGAGATAAGAGGGGATGGTTCGGAGTCAGGTTGGCGCTTGACCCGCATCTGTCTTTATTTGTTTTCTTTTTGTTTCTTCTTTACTTATGATGTTGAATGGCACTTAGATTTAGTAGATTTAGAAATTTTAAGATATATAAAGCAACACAAAATTAATATGCACTCTGCCACTCGATCGACAGAAAGGAAAATATTTTTTTTCATCCCAGAGTTCAGGCAGTTGTGTTTTGTCTTCATTCTTCAACTTTCAATAATCTCTGTTCTTCCATTTTAATTATTTTGATTGGTAGTATGTTCTCTTTAGTACTCTTGCTCTATGTTGTTAAATTCATTGTGATGCTCCATATTTTATTTTTCATCCTGCCCCCCTACAAACTTGACTTGAAGCCACCCCTAATTAAGTTTTAATTATTTCATATTTATTATATAAAAATTGGATAAATTTGAAATTAAATGTACACTTTTTAAAAGAAATCTCTCTTTGATATCTTTGAAATTTTAATTGTTATATGCATTTTGATTATTTGCTAATTACTTCTAGGGTTCTAGGCTTTTTACATTTAAGTTTATATTTTTATTGTTTATTTTTTGTCATATCCTTGCAGTACCTGACCCTGTAATTTTTAAATTGTAGTTTTCCGCACTCATCCCAGTGCAACTTAGCATTCTACAAGTTCAAAATGAGCTTACCATTTGACGTGCTTGTGGCGATGCTTTAGCTTGCATGGTAACTGGTCGCAAATAGCCAAAGTTTGGAAGCTTGGGTCCCTATAAAAAAGTGAACAGAGTGATGCGCAGGTTTTACTTTTACAGTATAAAAAATGAACCCAATAAACAAGAAAATCTAAGAACTGATGGAAACAAGGAAAATGTGTGCTGGATGCTACTCCTACAATAAAATCTATGTAAAGCAAATAACAAGATCGAAAAGAGGGATATCAGTACAAATATTTTTTTGAGAAGAAAGTTTTACATATCGAAAGAAGAAAAGAAAAAAAGGATGCAATGGAACAGCTAAGTTGACTCTCCAACTACTCACAGTAGTTGAACATAAGGGATTTGCACTTGATGTCCAAGGGAGACCGCTGGAGTTATTGTGTAAGCTTGATACGATGCTCCAACTACTAACTGTCAAGAACCGAGGATTGTTAGAAAGAGCTAACTAGCAATGTGGTTAAAAGCAAAGATGCTTCTAAAACTTAACCAAGCAAACAAGTTCTTTGGCATACATTTACTTCTCCAAGAATTACTGTCCTGCAGAGTACCTAAGCAAGAGAAATTCCACCACCAGTCAGTGTTCGATTTTTTCTTAACGAGTAGATCAATAATGGTAGAATATTCTGTACTTTCAAGGAATAAACAATTGTAAGAGTTATACTTTTTTTCAGGAAGTAAACTGCATGATCAGTTGATCATTTTCACATGATAATCGAGTATTGCTTCTAAATTGTTGATCTGAATAATAACAATAATATGAAACCCCTTTATTTGATTCACATATAAAACATAATCAAATTAATCACCACCATATAATGGCATACTATATTTGTACATACATTTTATCAACAATATTCAAAAGACAACAAAATACCAATCATTTAGAATTAGCAAAGACTTCTCTTTTGTGAGTTCATACTACAAAGATGGCAATCCACAACAACATTTCACAGGCTTCATTAAATGGTAAAGACAGAACAAGTCACAAATCTAGCTCACCAAAACAGTGTAAACCAAGTTAACCAAGAATTATAATCATTACATTCCAGCTATGTTAGGGCCAGTCAAATAAAACTTATATAAGTAATGCAAAAAATAGTTACAGTTTCTACACCAGATTACCTAAGCACAGTGTGATCGCATAGGGCCCTGAATTTTTGGGGCCCCAGCCCCCAAGAGAATATAGATTTTAATGTTAACTATAGATATTTTAATGTTAACTATGGATATTTTCATGTATGCTACAGTACAGCGGAACACTGAGAAGTAGATGAAGACTAGTATTGGTTGAGCTAAAACAAAAATAAAATAAGGATTGATCATCGGATTGATAGCCTTTCCTTCATTCATTATTTTAGACTAAGCTTGCATTCTATAAGTAACATATAATGGCCTAAAATTTGAATTGTAATGAAATTCGGATCAAATACTCCAAGTTCTCTTAAGCATGTATCAAAAGTGTAAACATACAATTATTTGGAGCACTAGAACTATAATGTTAATTTGCTAATTCTGAAAGCTTAATACACTAAAAAACTTTTTAAAATGCTATATGTTCAATATTTGGGTAAACAATCGTGGCTTTTTACTAATCTATCTTACTTCCTTTGAATTTGTATTTATTTGTGTTTTAGAGGTAAGAGTTGAATAAAATAATTTATCTGCACTGCAAAGATCTTTTATATGATTAAATTTAACTCATGCATTATATACTACTCCCTCCGTGCCATTAAATCATTCCCATTTTAACTTTGGGTCAAAATAAGGAAAGTGTAGTTTTGGTTGACTTTCCAATTTTGCCCTTGATGTGATGGGTCAAAGTAAGATGTGATAGTTTGATTATTAGTGAAAAATATGATGTGATAGGTAGGGTATGAAAAAGTAGGGGTAAAAGTGGTTTTTTAATAGAAAGTGGAAGTGTTTTAGGGAATTAGAAAAAAATGAGAGAGGAAAGGTTTAATGGAACAGAGGGAGTACTAGTTTTAGGCTCAAATTCAAATTTTTGCACATGACCTCCAAAAATTTCACACAGGCCCCTGAAAATTTAGGACTTCCCCTGTCCCTTACTAAATTTGACAAGGTATAAGTTTCAGAAACAAGAGCTACATCTAAATACTCCATATTTAATTGTGACTATTTGGAAATGTGTATGCCTGAGCTTTTACTACTAAATTGGAATGATTCCCCATTAATCCATTATCTCAATATAGATACAATAATGAAAAACACAAGGATTTTCTGATGCATTCTTGAATGTGTGGATGGGCTTGCAGAATTTGATAGCTTAAGCTTTCCTTTCCCCAAACAACAAGCACGCATACACACAAAAACAGAGAACTTTTCCTTAAAAATCCCAAATTTGGAAGAGCTAGAGAATCACTCAAGAATCCAATGAAACATCTGCTTGAAAACTGAAAGTTACCATAAAAAATGTAAGGAGAGTTTCTTGAGCTGCTGCTGAGTCTGGAAAAAAACACAAGACTCGACAAAATAAGTAAACCACATGCCTCTGAACGAGGCCAATCCTAATACATGTATATGATGCATAATAACGGGGATATGGAATGAGCGTACAGTGAAGATGAAACCAAACGAATTTCAGTTGTTCGATAAAGGCTTATTTGCGTGCTCCGAACGGAGAAGAATCCTCTGAGTGCCATTTCCTGAGATTGATTTTGTGGCAAGGACGGGAAGGAGGGAATGACTAGGGCCAATCGAGATTGATAATACTAATAATAATAGAAATATTAGTAATAATAAAAGCAATAATAATAATAATAATAATAGAAATAATAATAGTAATAATGATAATTATAATAATAATAATACTAATAATAATAGTAACAATAATAATATTATTAATATTAATATGTTATGAAATTAATGATTGTTCATTTATTCAATTAATCAGGACTAATTTCTAGAATAGTAGATTAAGACACTCATTGATGAGTATCAATTATGTACAGTACTTCCCACTTGTATTTGTATCCATAGCAAGGCTCTCCACTATAAATAGAGGTTTAATCCCTGCATTGTAATCACCATTAAGAATAAGAAGAAGAGTGAAGAGTTAATAGAAAGAAGAAATCAGAAACATATTATATCTATTCTCATAATCTCTGAGTAGTTTTTCTCTCATTTTACAACACGTTATCAGCACAAATTTGCTCAAAATCCCAGAATCCTTGTTCTTCTCAGAAGGTATATTTATTTTATTTTCTTCATAAACAAACTAAAATATTTTCTGAAAAACTATGAGAAGTATGCTCTGTGATTGCTCAAAGTTGGGATCCTTCACATCAGAAACTTATAGTTATAAAAATAAAATTAGATAAATTAAAAGAAATAAGTTTCCTCACAATCCCAGAAAATCATATTTTTGATAAACTAGAATAAAGAATAGAACTTAATATAGAGTAGCTAAAATTGAAAAACAAAATTTAATTCAATTTTAAACTACTCTTGAATTCTGCAAGCTAAGGTGTAATAATAATAATAATTTAGATAAGAAAAAAAAATATAAAGAACATAGATATAAAAGTAGATGAACTTACCAAGGTTCTTCGTTTTTTCCTAGTCCTTACTCTCTTCTGGTTTCATTCTACATAAATGAAAAATTCTTCTTTACTTAGAAAGAAGCAAACTGGCAAAGTAGTGTATGGGGAGTATCTGTTTTTTCTTCTCTATTCTAAATTTAAGAGAGAGAAATTACCTAGCCTCTTAAGAATTTAAAAAATAATTGCATTACATTCGTATATAACTTGATTCTTAGATATAAGATGCCCTATTTTTAGTTCACATGGGTGTACAACATATTTTTTGTTTGTTTCTTCTTATCACTATTTTCATACACAGTTTTTGTTCCTTTGATTTGAAACATAAATTTAAAAATAAATGAATATAGTACTTAATAATGAATATGATAAAATCATTTTAAAAAAATAGTCACGTACGGAGTATATAAGAATTGAGAATATTATCAATAACCATTTATTTATGTGTTTGTCTTCTAACACACGGAGTATATGGGAGTTGAGTATATTATCAAAAACCTTATCATGTTACATGTTGATATTCTTCATTAATTTTTGTATGTGTCTCCTTGTAATCATTTTGATTTTGTTTATATATTATCATGACATTGCTCCCACAAAAAAATATGATTATTTTAAAAAAAACTAATGAATTTAATTTAATATGTTGTAGTTATTCCATGGCCAACATCACCAAAAGAAAATTTGACATTCTTGATTTATCCGGTCAAAGGTACCTGGAATGGAGGGTTGATGCACTTGCTCACCTTAAGGCTAATGGCCTCGAAAATACAATTGCTGAGAATAATACATCATCATCTCAGCAAAAGGCAAAAGCCATAATTTTCCTTCGCCACCACCTTCATGAAAGTTTAAAATATGAATATTTATTGGTGGAAGATCCGAAGGAATTATGGGATAATCTCCAAGAGAGATACGGACATCAACAAAAGGTCCTATTGCCAAGAGCTCAATATGAATGAATCAATTTAAGATTCCAAGATTTCAAATCTGTTTGTGACTATAATTTTGCTATTTTTAAAGTCACGTCCACATTAAAATTATGTGGACATAATATCACTGACCATGACATGTTGGAGAAAACTTTTTCCACCATGCATATGTCAAATGTGATATTACAGCAGCAATACAGAGAAAGGGGCTTTAAAATGTATTCTGAGTTAATCTCAGTATTACTTGTTGCTGAGCAGAATAATGAGCTCTTAATGAAAAATCATAACATGAGGCCCACCGGTTGTAGCCCTACAAATTTTGGCCATCCTGATCGTGGTTCAGCACCAGAATCAAATGTTATCTAAGGTGGTGCTCGCGGACACTTTAAACGTGGACGCGGAAATAACCGCAACAAAGGGCCGAACAAGGGCTATAAAAATCCAAATGGATCATCCTCCAAAGGAAAAGGAAAATTCAAACCACCACAGGCTAAAACTTATGAAAAGCCAAAACCAAGTGGTGAATGCTACAAATGTGGCATAAAAGGACACTGGGCGAATGAATGTCGAACGGCAAAACATTTGGTTAAATTATACCAGGCTTCCACAAAAGGAAAAGGGAAAAATGTGGAAGCTAATTATGCTGATGATATCAATCCAATTTTGCCTAAATTTGACGTGTCCGATTTCTACATGGATGATGCTGAAATTGGTGATGAAGTGACCTTTGGTGGAACTACTACTATTTAAACATTTTCATTTACTCTGTTATGGTGTGTTTACTTTTTAAATAAATGTTGGAAATTTGTATTTTATTTTCATGTGTGCTTGTATTATTATGTCTCTTCTAAAAAA